TAGATGAAGGTCATTTATTTGAACAAACTTGGTAGCCCTTCATCCCAGTTTGCTTCTGGCCAAATATCATCACCCTAGGCCTTTCAGTTATTAAGAAGAAGTCGTTTAAAGTAAAATATTGACGCCGGACGGACGCCGTACCACGGCATAAGCTCACTTGGCACTTCGTGCCAGGTGAGCTAAAAAGGAGAACCCTTTGGCCAATGATGCTCCAGACCAAATTTGGTCAAAATCTCTTCATCGGTACAAAAGGAGAAGGATCTTTGATGTTTTCCTCTATTTCCCCTATTGGGCCCCACCCATCTGCCCCAAAGAAGGGGGCCCACACACCTCAGTTTATACAAATCTGATTCTTTTGTCCCTAATCATGCTTCAGACTGCATTTGGTTTAAATCCCTTCACTTGTATAGCAGGAGAAAAATTTCCTCTATTTCCCCTATTGGGCCCCGCCCCCAGAGGGGCCACACCCTCCGTTTATACAAACTTGAGTCTCCTTTGTCCAAAGATGCTCTAGGACAAATTTGGTCAAAATCCTTCAATTGGTTGAGAAGAAGATTTACCTATTTGACCTCACCCCTCTGCCCCCAGGGGGACCATACCCACCGTTTATACAAAACTGAGAACCCTTTGGCCAATGATGCTCCAGACCAAATTTGATCAAAATCCTCTGAGCCGTTCAGGACTAGAAGCGTTTAAAAGGAAAAAGACGACGGACGCTGCGGCATTGGAAAAGCTCACTTGGCCCTTCGGGCCAGGTGAGCTAAAAATAGTAACAGTGACCTTGACCTTGACCTAACAACCCTGAAATTCGGACTTGTCCGAGATATTATGGTCCTTTGTATTTGTGTGAAGTTTGAACAAAATCCCTCAAGGAATGAAGCCGCTAGAGCGCTGACAAACTTACACAGACGGATGGAGAGGGAAACTATAGCACCCTCCCCCCGGTTTCACCGGTAGGAGACTAATAACATAAAATATCATGAGAAAAAGATGACCATGACGATGTCTTGCTTGGTATAAAGGTTTTCATTTAAGTTTAAATTGACTAGTTTCGACACATGCGACGTGTCGTCATCAGAACAAACTTTAATACCAAAAGGCAGGCATAAGGTTAAAAATATGGTGCCTTACCTAGTAACAGTAATAACAACGTTTGCTTGATTGACGTAATACATAATGCACAATTAAATGACGTCATCAATAAGGACGAGGGCTGGCTGAAAATGCGGAAATTAATATGCAGTGTTCATCGCACAAGCTTAGATAGCAGTGAAGTCAACACATAAAAAGATAAACAGTCCTATGGATTAAAATAAATAAAGTTGTTACTAATTAAATGCAAAACATGTAGATGTAAACAATATAAATCATCTATAGAATATAGAATAGTTTTAGTATTAGCAATATAAAATATCAAAACTTCAGATCAGTTCTGTTATTTATGAATAATGCAACCATGTGACAGCACTCTAGCCAAATACTTGAATAGTATTAATTGTAATGGGGGACCATTACAGAAGTCCCCTAAACCCCAGCAGCTTATGTTCGCAGTGCCAAAATACACCAATGTATAAAATTTGAGCAAAATCAAACAATATTTAATTTCAACCAATCAGAGGCCGCTGCGGCAGTCTTTGTTGACCGATCGTGAAAAAATGATGTCTTGCACATCAAGACTTATGCCTCAATTTTCAAAGATTGAAGTTTCATTGGAATCCAACATATGGTTTCGGAGAAAACGCGCGGACAAAATTTAAGGCCGAACGAGGAAGAGCAGGAGAAGAGGAAGAATAACAAGAGGCCAAATGGGCCTGTAACGCTCACCTGGTATACATCTCACACTTTAAAGGCAAATTATCAGTATTTATGATTAAAAGTCATTCAAAAGAACCGTTTCTTTTTTTTTTAAATATTTCACCCCTGTGACCTTGAAAGTCGAATAAGGTCATTATGTTGAACAAAATGTATAGCCCTTCATCTCAGGATGCAACTTGCAAAATATCACCACCCTATCCTTTTATTTATGATTAAAAGTCATTCAAAAGAACCTGTTCTTTTTTTTTTAAATATTTCACCCCTGTGACCTTGAAAGTCGAATAAGGTCATTATGTTGAACAAAATGTATAGCCCTTTATCTCAGGATGCAACTTGCAAAATATCACCACCCTATCCTTTTGTTTATTGAATTAAGTCATTTATATGTTTAAACATATTTGACTAAATGTGACCTCGAAAGTGGGTCAAGGTCATAATTTTATGCCTTTTGATCATTCAGAAGTCGTTTGATGTTTTTGACATATTTGACCCCTGTGACCTTGAAAGTAGGTCAAAATTATTTTCATTCTCAAACTTTGTCGGGCTCTATCCTAGGAAGCCACCAGCCAAATATATAAAGACTCTATACCTTTCAGTTCTTCAGAAGAAGTCATTTGAAGAGTTTGACACATTTGACCCCTGTGACCTTGAAAGTAGGTTAAGGTCATTTTCACTCTCAAACTGTATTGGGCTCTATCCCAGGATGCCACCAGCCGAATTTGAAGATTCTATACCTTTCAGTTCTTCCGAAGAAGTTGCTTGAAGCGTATTATTATGACCCTGAGCCTTATGGAATTTGAGAAGATTGTTAAAGTTTTTAACATATTTGACTCCTGTGACCTTGAAAGTAGGTCAAGGTCATTTCAATAACAAACTTTATAGCACTTCATCCCATATACCTACTGGCATAATAGTATGACCCTCAGCCTTATGGAACTTGAGAAGATTGTTAAAGTTTAACATATTTGACCCCTGTGACCTTGAAAGTAGGTCAACGTCATTTTATACCTATACTGGCCAAATATCATAGCCCTAGGCCCTCAAGTTCTTCAGAAGAAGTCGCTCAAAGAAAAAGTTGACGGACAGAAGGAAAGACAGACAGACGCTGCAGTAAGGATTAGGCTCACATGGCCTTTCAGGCCAAGTGAGCTAATAAATGTCAAGGTCATTTATTTGAACAAACTTGGTAGCACTTCATCCCATCATGTTACAGGCCAAATATCATCATCCTGTGACTTTTGGTTAATCAGAAGAAGTTGTTTAATGATTTTGAACATATTTGATCCTGTAATTCAAGGTCATTCATTTGAACAAACTTATTAGCCCTTCATCATAGCATGCTACTGGCCAAATATCAATATCCTTGGACTTTTGGTTATTCAGGGGAAGTTGTTCAGAGCTTTTTTTAGACAATTTACTCCTGTGACCTTGAATATAAGTCAACATCATTCATTTGAACAAACTTAGTAGCCCTTCAACCCAGCTAGGTACTGGAAAAAATAGCATTATCCTGTGCCCTATGGTTATTCAGAAGAAGTGGTTTAAAGATTTTGAACATATTTGACCCCTGTGACCTTGAACATTTGCGAAGGTCATTCATTTGAGCAAACTTGGTAGCCCTTTATCCCAGCAACCTTCTGGCCAAATATCATTGTCCTAGACCTGTTGGTTACTGCTAAGAAGTTATTTAAAGGTTAAAAACATATTTTAGCCCTGTTACATTGAATAAAGATCAAGGTCATTCATTTGAACAAACTTGGAAGCCTTTTATCCCAGCATGCTACAGGCCAATTATCATCATCCTAGGCTGTTTGGTTACTGAGAAGAAGATGTTTAAGCAAAAGGATGACGCCCAACGCTACACCATGGTATTAACTTCTGGCAGGTGAGCTAATAGGTGCATATGATTTTGATTTTCTTCCACAAGGACAGATTCTTCAGAGTTCTTCATACCTATCCTTACAGAAAGTCATATCTTGCATCATTCATTCAGACCTGGATAGTGAAAGACAATGCCGATGAGACTTACCTTGTACTAGGATGATTCCTAAAGTGCCGTCACATGGTTGCATTATTCATAAATAACAGAACTGATCTGAAGTTTTAATATTTTATATTGCTAATACTAAAACTATTCTATATTCTATAGATGATTTATATTGTTTACATCTACATGTTTTGCATTTAATTAGTAACAACTTTATTTATTTTAATCCATAGGACTGTTTTATCTTTTTATGTGTTGACTTCATTGCTATCTTAGCTTGTGCGATGAATACTGAATATTAATTTTCCGCATTTCAGCCAGCCCTCATCCTTATTGATGACGTCATTTAATTGTGCATTATGTATTACGTCATTCAAGCAAACGTTGTTATTACTGTTACCAGGTTAGGCACCGTATTTTTAACCTTATGCCTGCCTTTTTGTATTTAAATTTGTTCTGATGACGATACGCTGCATATGTCAAATGTAGCCAATGTAAACTTGGATTAAAGCCGTTGTACCCAGCACGATGTTGTCGTGGACATCTTTTCTTTTTGATTACTCTTCTATTCATGGCTGGACCCGTGTAGTCCTTGTGGAATCTGTCTGCTGGGTAACACAGAACTTTGTTGAACTCTTTGCACGGATGTTGGATTTCCCACTCCTCGTATTTTATACAATATCATGGTTTATTGGATTACAAATGTAGTCAGTTGCAGGCCTGATTTCACAGGTTTTCATATTACAAAGGGTCTAGTATTGTAAATTTGAATATGAACTTAAGATTATAAATCACATGGAATTTTTTATGAATATTGAATTTATATATTCTCTAAATAAAGAAATATTTAAAACACTGTTTTTTTCCCCTCTAAATAAAGAGACTAAGAAGAGAATGGAAACCAACCTCAGGAGAAAGCCTAGGCTCACTGGAAACCTGATGGTCTATCACAGCTGAGTTCCTTGGAGATGGCTTATGGTACTGGTTTCCAAGGATATCAGACAACTCATGATGATTACGTGGCACATGGTATCCAAAAGGCTTTGAAGAAGCCCCACCCCGGCGTGTAGGCAGACTAGCAGCCCCTGGGTCTGGGGTGGCGTGGATTGGCATGGAAGAGTCCATGGTGCTCATGCCTTGCTGGTGGTTGGTGGAGAAAGGCACTGAGGTATAGCCTGATGAGGAGGGGAAGTAGTGCTGCAGGTTTATTTCTGCAGGCAGCTGGGAGTTACGTAGCGTGGCGGGTTCTGAGGCTGGCGGGGGATGTATCTGAGGACTGAGGGCCTGCAGAGGGGTACTGTGGCCTACAGGTAGGTTGGTGGTGCTGTTCCATTGGTGTGGTAGACTGGCCACACTGCTGTTGATGGTCAAGTTAGGTGTGGAGCCAGAGGGAGACATGGCAGGATACTGGGGGCGGGCAGGCTTGGGGGGTGGCTCCTCGATATCTGACCCGCTCGACCCTATAAAACACAAAGTACCCTTAATAACTCTCCCATCTGGAATTCAATCTCCTTTGGGATTGCAAAGATGAAGATTTTTTTCATGAAAATAAGTTCATTTCTTCTTCCCAAAATTCAAGTGTATAACAATTTGTTGATTTCTTACAAGGTCATAGGAGTATTTTTGAGTTTATGCCTTTTGTGTACTCCCTTATGATAGCGATTTTATCATAACAGCGAAGAGTAGTAAGTTGTAAAATAAACAAGAGGCCCAAGGGCCTTATCGGTCACCTGAGTTATATCAAAGGTACTGGTAGCTTTATTTTATTGTTAGTTTAGATGTGATGTGGAAATCAGCATGTAAACTGAAAATTGAAAAGTGAAATACAATACTTGTCATGTCATCAAAGGATAATTTTTTTTAAATATTGGTAAATGTTCCCTTTTTGGGCCCCGCCCTAGCCCCTGGGAATGGGGCAGGAATTCCAATTTTATAATGTAATACCCTCATCCACCAAAGATAATTCTGACCAAGTTTGAATAATTTTCTACTGAAAATGGATAAAATATACCCAAAAGAGTTATTTCCCTATATAAACTATAGTAACCTTTACCCCCTCCCAAAGGGGGAACGGATGGCTCCTGATGATCTTTTTATTCATGCACTGAAATGGACTGTAGTACCTCTGAGTCTGGAGAAGATTTTTTTTGAAATATTGGTTAATTTTCTCTTCTCTGGCCCCTAGGGTTGGGGTAGGAATCCCAATTTTACAATTTAAAACCATCTTCCGCCAAGGATAATTCTCACCAATTAAGAATAATTTCCTACAGAAAATTGTCAAAATATACCAAAAGTGTTGTTTCCTTATATAAAACTAGAGTAAACTTTACCCCCTCCCCAAGGGAGAACGGATAGCTTGGAGGTCCTGAAATTTTCAATTTAAATAAAGCCCCGGATGATCTTTCCATCCATGCAGTGAAAATGACTGTAGTACCCTCTGAGTCTGGAGAAGAAGATTTTTGAAATATTGGTTAATTTTCCATTTGGGGCCCCACCCTGGCCCCAGGGGTTGGGGTAGGAATCTTTTTTTTACAATTTTGTAGCCTCATCTACCAAGGATGATTCTGACCAAGTTTGAAAACATTCCATCCACTGGTTCTTGAGAAGAAGTTAAAAAATGTAAAAAGTAAAGCTCAGGTGACCTAATTACAAAGAAATCAAATGTGATGGGCAAAATTAACATTTGGTGAAAATCGATTTTAGCGGTGAAGGGCGAAAAATTTGACTGTGCGAAAGTTTCCCGGTATGCAGAATCCCTGTTACTTCTGTTAGGAGAAAGTACCAATCCTACTACATTACATATCACTAACACTGAGGTCAGTGTAAGTACCAAAGGTCAAACACAATAGCCAACAAACAGTTCCACACAGGACTGGTGATGATATCCTCTAAAATGTGTCAGTTGCATTTATCATTGGAACCTGATAATCTAACAGTAGGATAGAAAGATCTGGACTATTTCTGACAATCACAAGTTATAGTTTTCCTAATAACATTTTAGTTGGTAGTTTTCCTTATAGGATGCATAACAGAAAATTAAATATGTATGTCTACATACTATGCATTCGGACTTAGTTTTGTATCTTCTATCAATATTTTCCTGTTTAAAAACATCAAAATCAACTTAAATATGATAATTCATGCACAACAGATATTTTTCTCACATGCATCACAGGGTGATCCCATTGTTGCTAGTGAAGAGATAACTCTTTCTCACACAGGGTAGGGGAAAACAGCTGACACGCGCTATGACGTCATAATGATGAATTGTCAATGTGACGTCATTGTATTGTTTCCGTGATGTCATACGATTGTTGTGAATTTGGAATCATCTGTCTCAATCCTAGGGCTTTGGCAGAAGAATCAGTTCGATGTTTATTTTGACTCAAATTTGATTAGTTGTAAGTATGTGAGAAAAATAATCAAACATGGGTCTGTTCCATAGACAGTGATATCTCAACCCTCGGATTGAGATATCCCTGTCCACGGAATAGACCCATGTAAGACTCTATTAGTCCAATTCTAAATCTTTTCAATCAAATTATGGTGGCCTAGATAGTAACTCTCCAATAACTTCATCTTTGGCTGACTAGCACAGTATTCATAGTAGCCCCATCAGCAGTGGTCAAAGTGTCTGGGTTCACATGATTTATTACCAATCCAGCCTGATGACCAGCTTACCTATAGGGTAAACTACTAAATTCTCACTTTCTTTTTTAAATTCTAAAAACAGAATGCAAGCTTTGTTACCTGGTTGTGATCCGTGAGCATTAGATATGGAGTTCTGCAGGGAGAGTTTTAAACTTGGCCTCTTTTGGCTTTGCCTTGTGACAGATTGTCTCAACATCATCAAAATTGTCTAACACATCCACATCTATGTTTGTTTGTACTTTTGATGCCTTAAGTATCCAATAACTGTACAGATATTTTCGTACATAGATCACACAAAATGTTAGTTACTTGTCAATGACACATTAATAAGGAATGTAGGTATTTAAATAATAGAACTTCCCAACTGATTGAAATGAACTGTTGTTTCTATATTAATGTCAATCACACAACAATAAAGACTACAACAAACTTGTCCCAACTGAATATAACATTATCCAACTTTTCATCCTGCGTTATGCTCTCTTTATCACAGATATGTTTCTAAATAAAATCACACATGTGTGTTGTCCAAAGTCATGCTGTCCTGTGTCTGACCACACCTTTACCTGTAGGCTGACACCCCCTTCTATTGTGTAATATCCTGTACAGAACTGTACCTGCTATCCATGCTGTACACAAGTGAACAGTAACATCCATACGCTGTAAGTAACTGTAAATTGACACTCTTAAGGATTTCCTGTCCATGTGTGTATGACAGTCAATAAAGACACTCCAATACAAACATTATACATACTCCATGAGATTTCCTGTATCCTCCGGTTATCTCGTCGCATCTCATCCTCCTGTCGACGTCTTTCTTCCTCCAGGATCTCACTGAATCCAATACAAATGTTGATCATTAAACAGAATAAGATATTTATTCAAGAATACAAATACTTTTCTCCTTACACTTTGCACTGTGGAAATATTTCTGTGAAATCTACACAAATAAATCAGGATAATTTTGGTTTAAGTTAATTTTATCCAGATATTGTTTCTACTATAGCAATATTAAACAAGTATTTTGTGGTGAGATGTTGAGTTCAGATATTATTTCTACTATAGCAATATCAAACAAGTATTTTGTGGGGAGATGTTGAGTTACACTTCCAATACAACTGGGAGATGTTGAGTTCAGGTAATATTTCTACTATAGCAATATCTAACAAGTATTTTGTGGTGAGATGTTGAGTTCAGGTATTATTTCTACTATAGCAATATCTAACAAGTATTTTGTGGTGAGATGTTGAGTTATACTTCCAATACAACTGGGTGATGTTGAGTTCAGATATTATTTCTACTATAGCAATATTAAACAAGTATTTTGTGTTGAGATGCTGAGTTACGCTACCAATACAATTGGGAGATGTTGAGTTCAGGTATTATTTCTACTATAGCAATATTAAACAAGTATTTTGTGGAGAGATGTTGAGTTACACTACCAATACAACTGGGAGGGAGATGTTGAGTTCAGGTATTATTTCTACTTTAGCAATATCTAACAAGTATTTTGTTGTGAGATGTTGAGTTCAGGTATTATTTCTACTATAGCAATATTAAACAACTATTTTGTGGTGAGATGTTGAGTTCATGTATTATTTCTACTATAGCAATATCAAACGAGTATTTTGTGGTGAGATGTTGAGTTATACTTCCAATACAACTGGGTGATGTTGAGTTCAGATATTATTTCTACTATAGCAATATTAAAAAAGTATTTTGTGGTGAGTTGTTGGGTTACACTACCAATACAACTGGGAGGGAGATGTTGAGTTCAGGTATTATTTCTACTATAGCAATATCAAACGAGTATTTTGTGGTGAGATGTTGAGTTATACTTCCAATACAACTGGGAGATGTTGAGCTCAGGTAATATTTCTACTATAGCAATATCTAACAAGTATTTTGTTGTGAGATGTTGAGTTCAGGTATTATTTCTTCAATAGCAATATCAAACAAGTATTTTGTGGTGGGATGTTGAGTTCAGATATTATTTCTACTATAGCGATATCAAACAAGTATTTTGTGGTGAGATGTTAAGTTCAGATATTATTTCTACTATAGCAATATTAAACAAGTATTTTGTAGTGAGATGTTGAGTTACACTACCAATACAACTGGGAGATGTTGAGTTCAGGGATTATTTCTACTATAGCAATATCAAACGAGTATTTTGTGGTGAGATGTTGAGTTATACTTCCAATACAACTGGGTGATGTTGAGTTCAGATATTATTTCTACTATAGCAATATTAAACAACTATTTTGTGGTGAGATGTTGAGTTACTCTTCCAATACAACTGGGAGATGTTGAGCTCAGGTAATATTTCTACTATAGCAATATCTAACAAGGATTTTGTGGTGAGATGTTGAGTTACTCTTCCAATACAACTGGGAGATGTTGAGCTCAGGTAATATTTCTACTATAGCAATATCTAACAAGGATTTTGTGGTGAGATGTTGAGTTCATGTATTATTTCTACTATAGCAATATCAAACGAGTATTTTGTGGTGAGATGTTGAGTTACACTTCCAATACAGCTGGGAGATGTTGAGTTCAGGTATTATTTCTACTTTAGCAATATCTAACAAGTATTTTGTGGTGAGATGTTAAGTTCAGATATTATTTCTACTATAGCAATATTAAAAAAGTATTTTGTGGTGAGTTGTTGGGTTACACTACCAATACAACTGGGAGGGAGATGTTGAGTTCAGGTATTATTTCCACTATAGCAATATTAAACAAGTATTTTGTGGTGAGATGTATAGCAATATCAAACAAGTATTTTGTGCTGAGATGTTGAGTTACACTTCCAATACAGCTGGGAGATGTTGAGTTCAGGTATTATTTCCACTATAGCAATATTAAACAAGTATTTTGTGTTGAGATGCTGAGTTACGCTACCAATACAATTGGGAGATGTTGAGTTCAGATATTATTTCTGCTATAGCAATATCAAACAAGTATTTTGTGGTGAGATGTTGAGTCCTGGTATTATTTGTACTACAGTACATTTCACTTAATATCACGTCCGTTAATGTCACTTTTCGGTTATTATCATGTTTTTCTGATGCACCGTTTTTCCTGCTATATAATCTATGCAATTCAATTCTTTTATTATCACCTGATTTTATGTCGATTTCTATTAATATCACTTTATTTTGGCCACAGTCACAAAAAAAATACAGGTAAATGGGGGTAATGATTCATGATAAATACCCCCGGGGACCTTCTGTCACACCTGGACGCGTTATGTAAACATCGCCGCGCCCTAACGGGGTATGTTTTACACCTGGCTGACTGTCAAACAATAGGTTACACCTGGCTGACTGTTAAACAATAGGTTGACCTTACAAACTTGTTAACAGGATATTCACCTGTGGTTGGGTAAGCCAGGACAGTCTTACATCTGTAAACTTTTCTAATGCCAAGTGTACATGTGATGTAATCTTTCAACTAACATGCATGTGTACTATCTTCCATTTCAGCTCGTCTCCAGATTGAATAAATTTACGTTGTCGTGAAGTAGGCATACAAGTGGATGGTCTTCCGTAAAATATGACGAATGTTGGTTGAGATTAAAATAAAGAGTGTCTTTCAAACAATAAGTTTCTTAAATTATTTAAGTTTGACCAAGGTTCACGTACAATACGAAAAAATTGTCTTCGTTTTGAATCTCAAATAACCCACATACGACGCCGACATGGTGTTGTCGTAATTCAACTGTATGCTGCTGGTGTAAAATCATGATCTGCGAGAATTTATTCATTGCAAAATTATGACCTATGTTTAATTACACTTTCCAAATGTCGATGTAATAAAGAGATTACCTTTTGTGTTATCATTTATTGTTCAAACAATCGTAACAGGAGGTTACATTTTTCACTTCCCTCGTTTACGGCTGGGTTTACCCGATTACATAACACAGCATCTGATTGCCTGGTGTTCTTGTTTGCATATTGAGGTCATCCAATGAAATGCTACGTTTCAAAGGTAAAAGGTCACCGTACGATAGCAGTATTTAACATAGACACTCGCAGAAAACGATGTCACACTTGCAGCAAATATCTAAAGAAATTAAACTATAAAAATATGTAACTAGCGAAAGAACAGTATATATATCAAGATAAATGTAAATATTTACCAAGTCTCATGTTTACAATTGAATTTGATGCAGAATACCAGCCAAACACTTGTATGCCTTCATCACTACTGCAGTAAACAATCATAGTTACGATCGTACTGATCGTCATTTTGCTACTAACTATATGAAATGTAACTGCATACTGAAATAAATTACAAAGAATATATGTATTTTTATACTTATTTACGCATACTATATTTCAACTAGAGTAAAGAACAAGATTAGTTACAAAATATCTTCATTTTACAATCTTCTTCGTAGAGCCACAACACTTAGGCAGTTGACTAAGTTCACTTCCGGTTTTGAGGGATGAAAAACGCCAGAAAATACATATTCTGTTTATGTCATGTTTCGGTTAATATAATGTTTTCCGCTGACAAATGGGAAGTGATATTAAGCGGAATCTACTGTATAGCAATATCAAACAAGTATTTTGTGGTGAGATGTTGAGTCCTGGTATTATTTCTACTATAGCAATATCAAACAAATATTTTGTGACGAGATATTCGAGTTACACTATCACTAAGCTGCTGGCTTATATGTAAATACTACTACTATGTGGCCTGTTTGGTCATTGTACAATAAATATACACACACTTGTAAGCAAAATGTCGTTCCTTTTCCTCGATGATTCATACTTCCGACAGCTTAAGGCTGTCCCTTAGCAGCATTGTTGTAACAAGTGGTCTGGCCTCTAAATAACCCGTTACTTAACTCGGTCTTGATACGTTAACAACCATACTTGCAATCATCAACTTCCCTGTACTTCTATTTAAACAAATAAGGTAAACATTTAAGATCTCCCCTCAATTCTTTATGATTTTTTTCTGTAACTTGATTTGATAATCTTCATTCAAACCTTCCATTCTTTTTATCAGTCATATAACAATTGAAAATCATAGGTTTGTAACTTTGTATAAAAGAGATCCCAGAGGGATCTTTGTGCCCACCATCATACTATCTTCATTGGTTCTGTGTCCATTCAATCTTTTCTCTTCTTTTCTCTTATATGTTTGATCGGTTTGCATGTCTGCCATTTTAATCAGTCTGTTGATCAACCTCAAAATTAAACATGCACAGCTGAGGACCAAGGGAAACCAACATATCAATTTTGAGAAAGATTCCTCCAGTCTTCTGATAAATAGTGATAACAAACTTTAACAAGATGGCTGCCTGTCAGCATCTTAGTTTTCAGATCAGGCCAAAAATTTGATATGCATACCAAGAGGAAATTATGTGAAATTTGAGAAAGATCCCTCTAATACTTTTTGAGCAATATAGAACTAACAAACGTTTTACTCCCAAACTCAATATGCCCACCTGCTGGCCTCTTGGTTTTCCAATCATCTCCAAAATTTGAAATGCATAACTATAGGAACCATGGGAAACCTTTATGTGGAATTTGAGAAAGACCCCTCTAATTTCCCTATTGGGCCCCGCAACTCTCAGCCCCCGGGGGTCCAAACCCACTGTTGATACAAAGTTTAGTCCCCTTTGCCCAAGGATGCTCCAGACTAAATTAGGATAAAATCTCTTAATCCCTACAGTAGAAGGAGGATTTTAAAGGTTTTACCTCTTTTTCCCCTATTTGGCTGCTCCTCTGCTCCCAGGGGGGTCACACCAACCATTTATACAATATGGAGTCCCCTTGGCCAAAGGATGCTCCAGACTAAATTAGGATAAAATCTCA